ATGTATTATTGTATTATAAAATCCACTGTACATAGTCCCATAACATCTTTTAACTTGGATTTAAATTTTACTATTGTAAATAGCTATAGGTTTTTTTTGTTTTTTTTTCTAATTTAACTCGTTTTTGTTATGTCCCCGTATTAGTAGGGGAGTTTTTCCTCAGCTAGGTGGTTGATGACATTCTTAATAAAGTTTCTATCTATCTATCTATCTTAACCACACCATATATCTTTAAATTTTTAGGCAAGACTTTCACATTGCTGTCAGACGATGGTGTTACTACGCGAGTTGTCCAGCACTGCTTTGAGAAAATTGACAACGATGAGATTCACACATACAAGGTCGGTATGACATATTGTTTTCCCTATGTATACGTTAGATAGGGCGTTGGACTCCGAATCGAAAGATCTGTCTACTGTTGTTGACCATGATCTTTGTACTCTGTTCAGTTCACTGCCACCATCTAATCAGGAATACACATGGAGGGCTCCTAATGTGGAATTGTTAGGGTAAATCTGAAATGTGAGTGTGATAGAGAGACATCCCATCCTACAATGGAAACGGGGGTAACTTTCAGCGATGTGGGGTACTTTGGTTCTACCGTTCAATCCCTATTAAAAAGCCATCCTCGGGGGAATGGATAGTGGCCGCTTTAGGGGGCTGGCCGCTTAATACAGGTAAAAACAATAGAAAAACCCTCATTGGGACTTTGATTACTGGCCGCCCAATAGGGGTGACCGTTTGATAGGGGCCCACTTAATAGGGGAGGCGCTCGTATCCGGATCGAGCGGTCCAGGTTTGAGCCCTGGCCAGGGACATTGCGTTGTGTTCTTGGGCAAAACACCTTACTCTCACAGTGCCTCTCTCCACCCAGGTGTATAAATGGTTACCGGCGAACTTAATGCAGTGGGTAACCCTGCTATGGACTAGCATTCCATCCAGGGGGGAGTAGAAATACCCCTAGTCGCTTAATACTACAGTAACCGGGATAAGCCCTGGCCTGATGGACCACTTTGCTCGCACGCAGCAGACTTTACCTTTTACTTAATAGGGTTCCACTGTATATAACACGCACCCCAGATCGGTATGACGTCACCCCCTCTATCCCTTCTTACCATCCCCTCGTTTTTTTCCTTCGAAAATTAAATGTCTCCAATTCTTGTAAGTCGTCAATGCAGCTTTTCAATTTTCGGAGATTGCCAAGTTTTGATATTTCCGGTCATTGAGTAGGATTACATTATATACAAATCAGTGCGGCAGAAATCTGGTCATCTGAAGACTGAAAGAATTCACCAAAAACCTGAAAAGTTGTTTTTTACTTCATTTTCCAGGTCATGTGCTCGTTTTTGCAAGTCTATCAAGAGAAGGTCTACGATCTTCTGAATCCGCGGTTCATTGTGGACTTACCGGTCAGAGAACATCCAAAGAAAGGTATGTACGACGGCGTCACATAAAAAAGAAAGCCTTTGCGCTCCTTAACGCTAACAAGCAGAATTAAACAAATTCCTAACAGCGATTTGCAGATACCGAAGACTAACAAACGTTCAACAAAACATTTTTATGTTAATGAAGTTGCTACTCTGTTTATTATGTTCCAGGGGTGTACGTTGCAAACTTAACCCAACACGAGGTGAGAAGCGCTGGAGATGTGTTCGCGCTCTTGGAAATTGGAAAGCAACATCTCGTTATCGCGGAAACTAAAATGGTCCGACATTCTAGCAGGTATAAAATTTTGCAGCTTTATACAATACAAGCGTTTCTCTTCCCTCTTGCTTGGGACACGTTTGGGACTGGGTCCCAAGAATTCCATACTGATGATGTAGGTCTACAGACATCCGTGTAGTGCTTCTCATTGGTTATTGCTCGGTTTTAAATTTTTGCGCGTAAAAAACAACCAATCAGAGGCTACTCGGATCTCTGTAGGCCTACGTCATCAGTATGAAATCTTAATCGTCTTCCGAGGCTGGAGAGAGACGGGCGCGACGGAAGACTCCAGAATCAGGCTGTTGCTGCATTATCTCTCGTTAACTCTTGCCACGTTTCTGTGATTAGTTCTGAAATGTCCCGAGTAATGTTAAAGAAATGTAGCCCATTCTATGTCGTTGGTTAGTTTAGAAGTAGCCCGAAGAACCGCAAATGAAAAAAACCCGGGGGTTTAGCGAGTAATTCGTCGCGCTACACCGGACAAAATGCACGCCTAGAACGGATATTTTGAGGAATTAATCAGAGTCGGAGCTTCAGACGTTCACAAACAAAAGCGTATTTAATTAACCCTTTGATTTGTTTAACAGATCACATTCGATTATGCAGCTGATTATAGAAAGAAGGCTGAAAGCGCATATTGCCAATGGTAAGAGAACAAACTGCATCTATTTATCGAACCCAGTCACGGAAATAGAACGAGTATTAAACCACTTCATATCAATTTCAGAGAAACCTCCAGCCCCAAGTGAGACGACTGTATCTCACGAGGCTGTTCAAGAATCAATCATGGCGGTGGATGAGACGATAAATAATCTCATAAAAGAACTGAAACAAGAAAGGAAAAGCCATCATAAGGTATGCCAATATTAAACGCAAAATTATTGATGGTGTTAGAATGAGGCGCGGTAGCCAAACGGTGAGTGCGCCAGATTGAACGGCGCGGGGTCCAGGTCTGGCCAGGGTGGGGCCGTGGTTGTTTTGGCTTTGTTCTTGAAAGACACTTCTCTATCACAGCGCCTCTTCCCAACCAGGAGTATAAATGGAGACTGGGAAACTTCTAAGGTGACCTGCCACGTATTAGCATTCCAATTAGAATAGAAATTCTTCCAGTTATGTCCTGCCTAGAGAAACTAGAGGCAGCGTGGCCTAGTGGTCAGCGCGTCGGACTCGCAATCCAGCGGTCCCGAGTTCGAGTTCCCTCTGACCACTACCTGGATTTGTTTCACGGTAGCCCCGAATTCAAACTCTCGGCCACGCTTGCGAATAGCCAACTGGTTTGCCGACGACTAGTTGGGATTCTTAACAGTGTTATGTTCAGTTTGAATTATTTGTTTCAGTTGTTTGCTCGGCCCCACTAGCCTTGGTGCTATAAACACTGCCGAGGGTAAATAAAATTTTGCCTATTTATCTATCTATCTATCTATCTATCTATCTATCTATCTATCTATCTGTCTGTCTGTCTGTCTGTCTGTCTATCTGTCTGTCTGTCTATCTATCTATCTATTCATTTATTTTTTATCCTAGCGCCGGCATAGATTGGCAACAGACTTAAAACTTTAATCAAAATACATTTTGGACTTTGTTTTGCCGTTGAATCATTCAAGTTATCTCTTCTTCACATCTCCTGCGGGATACCCGCGCAGAGTGGAATCTGGGTACGAGATAATAATGGCAGTAACAGTGTGAAATGGCCCTCGTTTGACAGTTGTTAATGGTCTCTTTTATCTTCTTTTACGATATCAGCGTGAACGGGAATGTTTGAAAGAGTTAATGGAGAAGGAGGTGAGTTTGTGGTAAACGGTAACGGTCTACAGTTTAATTGCGATGTAGCTTGCTTAATTCTGGAATAGCAGTAGAAAACTCACTTGCAGGAAAGAGTCTGTCAATTCGCCTTACTGAAAAATATCAGTCAAGAATTAACACCAGTTGACTGCTCACCGTTTCTCGCCTATTACACAGGAGAAGTATGTCAGATGAGATAAACAGCTTGACCCAGTATTGTTCGCAGAAAAAAATACAAGAAGGGGATTATTTAAATGATATACCATTTGTCATCAGCTCTCGCTTATAAAGTAGATGAAAGCAAGCAATGAATTTGTTTTTCTTCATTATTTAGTAAGGCGTGCCCGGAAAACAGCGGCAATAATGATATTTGACAGACATCTCTGAAAACAGACATTTACCTCAAAGTCATTATATCGCCTCCCTGTCCATAGAAAGGTTTAGCTTACAAATTTGGAAATAGCGGAGGCGAAGCTTATTGAATACGTGAAGTTCTTTCTAGAGAGGAGACTTGTTGGTCAGTGATGAGATTGAGAAGGGGTGAGGTGGAGTCTAAAAAACAAAGGGAGGACAAAATAGAGTTCTTACGCCAGGGAAATTTTGTCGAGCTTTTGACTGACGAGTACAAAGCATTACCTGCACATTATCTGTTGTTTTTATTTCTTCCACAGCTAAACAACGGAAACACCTTTGAGGGTGATCTCATTGTGAAAGGGAAAATCAACCTGTAAGTAACGGATTCGTAGTCTACTTGTTGTTTACAACACAAAATAAAGTCACGAAGCAATCCGAACGACACTAGATTGCAAAGAATCTAAAAGTAGAACAGAAAATCGAATTTTCGAGCAAAAAATCCGACTCAAGATTGCCTAAAATGAACGCCAGAGTTTTCTGTCATTATCTCGCTCTCCTTTAGTTTAAGGCTTGTTTACTATCAGGCTTAGGCCCCGACCACACTAACGCGTTTTTAAAGGTAACTGTTTTCGTCTCAACGAAAAAGAAGCAAAACATATTTTACCACGCTAGCGCTTTCGTTTTGCTTTCACCTGTCCATACTAATTCGTTTTAATACGAAAACGCATACTTTTTGATACTTTTCGCCTATCGTCCACACTGTTAACGTCCGTAAACGCTGATCACAACGACAGTATATGACGCATTTTTTGTCACCGTTTTCAAAAGCCTCCTTTTCACCTGTCCATACTAGAAACGGAACGTTTTGAAAACGATGCGGCGTCCATGCGCTCCACTTTTGAAACCGTTTTGCGGCGAAAGCCTTCGTTTTCATCAGCGTTTTCGGTCGTTTTAGTGTGAACGATACGCGAAAATGCACCAAAACATATGCGTTTTAATACGAAAACCTATTAAGGTTGGTTTTCACTAGAGCATATGCACAAGCACAAGCATAGGCATAAACACAAGTGAAAACAGCTGCGACATCAAGTAAACATAAGCAGAAACATAAGAAGAACGAACCCACTTATTTGTCTAGTGCAGTTTTCACTAGCAACGCGCTCGACATAAGCATAAGCATAAGCATAAGCACAAGAAATGCTTGTGCTTGTGCTTATGCTCTAGTGAAAACCAGCCTTCAGTGTGGTCGAGGCCTTATTAACTCAGTGTTAGCTCCAGTCGCGTAAGTATATAAATTTAACTCCATTTTGTTGATTTGTTTGTAGATGTGATTTAGCCGGAAGTGAGCGATTAACAAAAACCAAGGCAGAAGGAGTGCGTCTAACAGAGGCGAAATATTTAAACACCTCATTACTTGAGCTAGGGTAGGTAAAGAAAAATATGCACACTACAAATAGAGAAAATGTGCTGCTAACATTTTTACACCTTTACCCTTTAGAAATGTGATCCACGCCCTTGCACGTGGACAAAAGCGGCACGTGCCATACAGGAACTCTACTCTCACCAGACTCCTACAAGACTGCCTCGGCGACAATGGGAAAACTAACTTCATCGTAAGCCGTTTTTGTTTTGGTTCTTATTCCATTCCTTCCTGTTCTTTGTTTACTTCTATCGCCTTCAGTTTTTGTATCGAGGAAATGCAACTTTCCGAAGACTGAATAATACTTAGATGTCGGTATTACTGAAAAGGATATAAAATAAAATATAACGTAATAATCTTCAGTTGTGAATTCGTTAACAAGTTCGGTTGAATTAATACAAGCAATGGCGTATAAGTAAAACGTGATACAATTCAAAATTTCGAYAAAATTAACGTACAATTTTAAGAAGCGCGAGACATGGAATAACACTTGCGCGAGCACTACACTTAAWACAAGGAAGAWAATTGTAGAAAATAGAAATAATTACAATAATTATAACATAAAATGTTATGAACAAAAAATATAAAATAAACCGGTACTAAATAAATGTATATACATAAAGAATAATATCAGAACGAGAGAGTTAAGTCACCATGTTTCAGCTGCTTATTTAAAGTGGGATTCTCCCATGATGTGCATTTCTTCCTTCAACATAAGTTGTAGTTTGTTGGGTGCAAAATCTACGATGGAAAAGCAGTTCTTATTAGCTAAACACCGACATGCCTGGGATTGCTGCAAATGCTGATATACTTGTGAGTTCCTGTCCCTACTCAGACGCTCACCAACGCGCGTCGAGAGATGACGGCTAGTCTCGCCGATGTAACAGGCATTACATCCTGCACACGAAAACTTGTAGTACAGAAATATAATTTCAAAAATATAATTTGAAATTTTGTTTTACAGATTTGCATAGCGCCTTCTCTTGGCGAGGTGAATGAAACAAAATGCAGCTTGAACTTTGGTCTTCGAGCCATGAGAATAACTAACGTTGCCCGCCTTAATGTTGAGGTAAATACAAACATGTGGGGCGCTTGTCATTCGAGCAAAAATTCCGCTTTGAATTCCTGGACATTTCCTATGTCGAATGAAGCAGCATTTCGGTCATTACCGGAAAAGAAGACAACGTCGTGATGTAAACTTAAAGTTTCTTATCGAAAATTTCCATTCCGTTTGATTTTTTGACCGGAATGTTCGGTAGAATGGTTCCCGCTGTGAAAATTTAACAATTCTCGCATTTTCTGCAAATTTTCCCAAGACATTTCAGTACCATTTGCCCCTTAGCGAAGGTTTCGTAATTTTTGGTCGAATGGAAAGCGCCGGCCCATGAAGAAGAACAGTACACCGCAAATGAGTTTCCTGGGGGAATTCCTCTATTTCAGACGTTAATAAGAAAATTTACGGTAAGCAATGAGGGTTTCGCCGCGTTAAGTTATTTTAAATCCAACTTTGTAAAGTCTCTCAGGTCAGCGAATAATTATCGTTTGTGATCTTAAAGAGCACGCCTTTGAAAAGTCCAAATCGCGGCATAAAGCACATTTTCATAGATGGACTAGTGAGAAGAGAACTGGAGTACGTATGCATTCGTAGTAGTTGGACAAGAGAGCACGGATCAATACGCGAATAGAAATTAAGGAATTAAAATACAAGGATTTTACTCATGTTTGCAGGTGGACTATAAAGTATTGGCTGAAAGATTGGCGAAAAAACTGGAGGATCAAGGTAAGACAAAACTAACCTACACATCATTTTGCAACAGTTATGCCTCAACAACAGTTATGTATTAAAGGTGGAAAAATGCTAGCAATATATGACTAATTGCCATTTGATAAATTTCGTAGCCCACAAGGCAGAACAAGGACAAAAAATTAAATAAAAATAAAGATAAACTACAAAAGAGAGCACTCCAATCTGCCTATTATAGAATCATACACTTTTAACTGCCATTAAGTGGAATGTAAAATGTGTTCGCAGAAATTAAATACAAGTTCGAGAAGCTTGAATACCTCAGAGAGATACAACGCCTGAAGTCCGCGATAAGCTGTTATCAAGAGAGTGAGAACTTCGCTGGGAAAGATGTAAGTGTTGATATCAATTTGTTCAGTTCACCAACTTACAAAAACAACAGCGACTAAAAACGGGATTAAATGAGACAAGGAGGTCTTGCTTGACCGCCATCTGTTATGCGGTCTCATATCGGTTATTGACAAACACATGATGTCAACTTAACAAATAGACGTTAGTTTTTCATGCGTCTGTCCTGTCACTGATCATGAATTTCGTCATGCTATTGTCGAAGTAGCTGTGAATCCGCAGACTACTTTGGCAATGTTATGACGAAATTCATTGTCAATAACAGGACAGACGCATGAGAAACTGACGTCAAATTGTTTTTTACGATAAATTATCGCATAAATTATAAATTAATGTGTCTCTCCGCTTGTTGACAACGAAACTTAGCCAATGAGCGCGCGAGAATTTGTGCAGTTATTGTAAAATCTTCCACACTCGCACGCTTTTCTGGCCACAACATAATTGTGTTTCACTTTTATAATTTTTTTTCTTTCCACAGCACGAGAAGTTAGTGTCAGTGATTGCTAATCTCTCCAAAAGCGTTCAGCGAGAGAAGGAGGAGAAGAACAATCTACAAACAGAGCTGGTTTGCCTCAAAAAACAGGTCTCTCAGCCAATGGGAACTGCTCCTGATGTCGAGGCTGTTCTGCTGGCTGAGCTCATGTCCATGGAACTGCTGGCAAATTTACAAAACCCAGATGTAGCAAAAAGCATTCTTTCAGATAGCACATTACCAGCCAAGGTTAAAAGTCACCTAGCATTAGCAGACACTCAGGAGACGCTCCTGAACAATGCTGGGTGTTTCTTACAGCTTTTGGACTTGCATCTCGACTCTGAACTGGATGCGAACGAGAGAAAGCTTACCGCGTCCGAAGCTAAAGAATACCTACAGTTTAATTTTTCTAGGGCAGGCTCAGTGGAGTTGTTTTCCAAAGACTGCTCCATAAAAATTTCCCCCAGGGGTGTCCCCCAAGAACCGTGTGTCAGCCTTCCCATGTACAACACCGGTACTGATGATAATGCCTCTGGACTAGCGGGTGGCGTGCGCAGAATGCTGGGTAAACTCATGGGTAGAGAGAGTAAGGACAGAACGGCAATATCGCCTGGTACCCAGCCCACCAGTCGCTCATGCTCAGTTCCTACCAGTGACGTAAAGCCAAGTACACGTGACCAGGACGACGCCATGATGAAAACCAAGGCGCTGTTAACAAAACTGACAAGTTCCAAGGAGAAAGTGGAGCAACAAGTCCTTAGTTTGCTGTCCACACTATTTGAAGAACAAATCACTAAGACGGAAGGTTGGTAAAAACAAACTATTACAGCACGAACTTATGTGATGTGTAAAAAATAAATAGGACGCTACGAACCGAGTTTTCAATAAGCAAGGTCGCAGCAACAGGTCGTGACTTCCATTCAATTGCTACATCGCATGCTCTTTTCTGACGGAATTTTGATTCATTTTACATCATCAGAACAATGCCCACAATGGAATGAGTTGGGAAGGAAGCTGACCAAGCTGATCATGTTTCGACGCAATAATATGCCTGGTGAGTAAATAAATTTACAATTGCTTAACTCTCCCTTGAGACTGTCATTTTGGTTGTTACCTCTCAGCGGTTTCCGGTATCTACTTGAAAGGCACAAAAACATGTATTCTTGTCTTGATCAACGAACAACAAACTTTGCATCTTAATTTTACACGGGTGTCAAAAATTAATGTTTAGGTTTGAGTGAAGCAGACATGTGGGCCAACTCTGAAGACTTGAACACAATCCTGGAAAACTGTCTTCGGTTTGTGATCATTGATAAGGCTCTGCTAGCTTGTCTGTTAGTGATAGAGCTTTTGGATTTGAGACAAGTGTGTGGGACTCTTGAGGACCGAAGAAAGTTTCCGAGCAAGGATGTCCAGGAAAAAAGCAGTGCCCAGGAAAACCTGTCTCAGGGCAGTTTGTCGCCAAATACACCACAGGACGAGAAGTTACACTTAAAAGGAAATGGCAAATCATCCGCTTCCAACGAAAGTAAGAAAATTGTCTTTAAAAGTCAGGATAATGGGTTGGGCTCGCCACAGGGTTCCATGTCCCCAAGACGAGAGAAACTAAAGAATCTCAAACACACCAAAACAGAACTGGAAAAGGAAATATCTGATATCCATGAAGACACAACCATTCTTGAAACAGAGCTTTTCTCAACCATGGAGGAGAAAACGAAGGTTGAAGAAGAACTGTTCGGAATGAAACACCACGTAACCAAACTCAGATCTGAACTGTTCCATCTTAAACTTGAAAAATCCAACTTGGAAAGTGACGTCAAAAAGTCTAAAAGCCAAGAAAATTTACTGCAAATTACCGATGCGGATGCCGGGTTAAAACCCGCTTTTGAGTCACCCAAGGAACCACAAAGAGGATATCCTGAGCTCTCCGACGTTATGGAAGCGTCACACGAAAGTAACGACAGCGAAAACAGTTCGCAGATGTCTGATGGCAATGAGACCAGAGAGGCGTTCTTGAAAACGTGTATGGAAAACATCTCGAAAATTTACACGCTTATGCCAAACCACGACGTAGAAATCGCGAGTGAAGATGAACTGTCTGATGATCAAGAACCGACACTTTCCGACGCGAACATTGACGACAGTGATGAAGAGATCGTTATCACAAAACTTGCTCGAAGTCTTCGTTCACCTTGCACAAGTCCAGCGAAAGAGAAGGCATCTATAGCATCATCGCCAAACAAGGGAGGAAAAAAACAAACAGCTGCTAGCAACGGTCAACGAAGCAAAGCCAGCACAGGGAACGATGTCACTGAAGACCTTGGAAGCAAGTCGAAAGAAGCACTAGTCAAGCAAATACAAGAACTTAAGAGGAAGTTGCACAAAGCTGAACAAGAGTTAGTTGAAGCTCGAGAAACCAACGAGGATTTGGAAGAAGAGCTTGACCACAAGAAGGGACAGTTAGCAGAGGCACAGGAAACTATAACAAACCTCGAAAACCAGATTGTTGAGGAGAAAGAAACCTGCGAGCAAGTGCGGCAACAGTATTTTAGCGTTAAAACTCAAAACGAGATACTCGATGGAAAGATAACGGCTTTAAGATTGGAAATGGAAAGGGTTTTAAGAGATAGTAATGGTGCAAACGTTGCTAGCAAAACTATGGAAAATTCGCGAAGAGATAACCCACCGACATCTCCAACAAAGACATCAGTAAAATCACCAGTAAGGCAACCGACAAAGGCAAAGGTTCCCAAAATTGACCTCCGAACTCCGCCTCAAAAACAGCTTACCTCAAATGAGATGGAGTTTATTGCTCTTATTGAAGAGAACGCAGAGATAAAAGTAAAACTGGGTAAAGCCACTCAAGAGAAAGCTCGTCTGGAAAAGTCACAGAAATTTGTTGAAGAAAAATCTTCTAAGATGAAGGCTGCTCTTCAAACAAGCGAGGATGCGTGCAGTCGATTCAAACAAGAAATGGCAGAACTCACGAAAGAAAAGGTCAGGCTGACCGGCGAAGTTACTGATTTACGAAACAACAACTCGAATATGGCAGAGGAGCTTCAAAAGTATCGAGAAAAAGCAACACGACTCGAGAAAGATATAGAAGCAATCGCCTATATGAGCACGAGACTCGAAAAGAACAACAAAATGTTGGAAATGGAGATATCGAAAATGGAATCCGAGTTGGGCGCTTTAAAAGGCAAGTACGAATCGATGAGTCAGGAATGCCAACGACTTGACCAAGAGAATCAGCTGGTAAGAAAGGAGCGAGAAATAGCACTTCTTGAATTAGGAGCCATCAAAAAAGAAAAGAGTCAGCTACTAGAGCAGAGGTTTTCAATCGACGAGGAAAAGCTTAGAAAAGAGAAAGAGCTAAAGGACAACGAGGAACGGCTCTTTGAGTTGGAATCCGAAATGTCCGAGCAGAAACGCCTCAACTCAAATTTGCAGAAAGAGCTAGCAGGTATGGCAGAATATCAAGAAGCGCTGGAAAACGAATACTCCAAAGTAAAGAACGAAGAAGACAAACTTAAGCAAGAACTAGGTAGAGTAAGTATCCGGGTAATGGAAGTTGAAACAGAACTTGCCTTAGCTGCACAGAATGCCCATGACGAGACGACAATCGCTGGATATTCCCGCAAGCACCAGATGAACCAGAGAGGGAAATCATTCTCTGGAACACCTAGTAAAAAGTTCTACACCATTACCCACACAAGTGAAGACGAGATTGCTGACACGTCTTCTTCCATAGCAGAATCTCCCGCAGATGAAAGCAAACAGACGGAACACGAAAATCAGCTTCTGAAACTTGAGAATGGTTATCTGCAACAGCAGTTAGCAGAAAGCGAAAACGTCCTTGCCATGTACAGACAAGACTTAGAGAGTGCGCATGATCTCTTAGACAAACTACAAGCTGAAGCCAAGGTATTTGCTGACAATACGAAGAATGTGGCGACCGAGGAGGACTGTAAAACGCCTTCAGACAAAGATGACACCGTTCAAGAAATAGGAGATTGCGCTGAAAACGCAAATGACGATTACAAGTTACTGGAAGAGAAGCATGCTGAATTGACCAGAGAATACGAAATCCTTCGTCAACAATACCAAGAAGCAGTTACTCAGAAGGAAAAAGAAATAGATATACCGACATCTGAGAATAAAGCTTTGAAGAAAGACGTGTTTATTGATGACAAATCTAACAAGGAAACACAGCAAGACTTTGAACACCTACAGTGGACTTTAGAAGAGCGAATAAAGGAATTGGAAGCTGGCAATTCAAAACTGAAACTAGCCGAGGAAGAATTGTCTCAAAACGTGAAGACAAAGAACCAATTATTGAGTTCACTGGAAGATGCCAAACGAATACAAACAACGCTGGAAGAAAGGATTAGCGATTTAGAAAGCGAGAAAGAAAACTCCAAATTGGCAGAAAGGTCTTTCGAAGACCAAGTAACTCGCTTCAAGGCCGAGAACGAAAAGTTAAGAATTGAAGTACTTGAGATGACGAGAGGTGGTCATCGACATGCAGCAAAACTGCAGCAAGCTGCGAAAGATCCAGAACTCGGTAAAACGACTGCTGACAATGAAATCAAGATGCGAAAACTTGAAGAGGATCTACTGAAAGTTACAAGCGAAAAACTCAAGCTTGAATTTGAATTAAGAAGTGCCAACAACGACTGCGAGAGACTCAAAAGCGATCTCCATCAGAGCGAGTCCGAGAGGAACTTGTTAAATACTCAGCTTAATGACAACATCGAGCGAGCTGCAAACTTGGAAATACGACTGATGGAGATGAGGTGTTCATGTGAGACTATCAAAGATGAGATTAACACGCTCAAAAACCAGAAGCGACAAGAAAGTTTCCATCTTCACGAGGCAAGTGTTTGTAAAGAGATTTTAGAAAAACGACTAGAAGATGCACTCAGAGAAAATAACGTTTTACAACACGACCTGGAGACCACACGTGAAGAAAGAAGAGAAATGCTGCAGGCGATCGCTAAGTTAGAAAAAGAAAAAGAACAGCTCACACAAGAGATAGTTGGAATAAGGAAACAGATGCAACAACAGCATGTCGAGGAAGCAAAAACAAGACCTGCTGGAATGAGAGAAGAAACTGAAGAGGATGAAGGGACCACGATGAAACTGGAGAGCCTCGAAGAACTGGAAAAATACAAAAACCTACACAGAGAAGACCAAGAGAAACTTAAGATCGTTCGAGATGAATTAGCAACAATTACCGAAGATCATAAACAGATTAAAACGGAATTAGAAGAGATAAAAAATATAAAGGAAGATCTCGAAAAACAGATAGAAAATTTGAAAAACACGACACTGGTAAATGGAGACCGATTAGCTTTGGATCTTGAACAACGATCTGAAAATGAGGAAGAAACGAACGAAAGAGTCACATTCGATACAATGGAAATCGAAAAACAGACGAAATTACTTGAAAAAGAGAAAGGACTTTTGGAGAAAGAGCTAACCCGGGTTCAAGACGAATGCAACAAGCTCAAGGAAAAACTCGAGGTTATCAAAAATGCAACAGAGAAAGCACAAACGCAAGAGCAGCAAAGAAAAGAGCTGGAGGAAAAACAAGTACAGTTAGAGACGGAACTAACACGACTTCGAGAATTAAACCAAAAGCTTGAACACGAATGCGAAGGTTCTAATAAACTAATAAAGGAGTTGGAAATAAAGACGAAGGCATTGGAGAGTTTGCAGAAGGAGCTTCACTGTTTCCACGAAGAGAACGACCGCCTTACACAAGAGGTTGACATAATTCAACACACAAGTAAAGCCATGACAGATCACCAGTTTAACAAGGAATCGTTTGAGACAGAGAAATCTCTACTGAAGCAAGAACTTGAAACTGTTCAAAACCACAACAGAAAACTGCAAGAGCAGATAGCAGACATGAGTAAGGAACTCGTGATAGTCAACGAACAAAAGGAGAGAATCAGTTCCACAGAAAAAAGAAACGCCGCCTCCTTACAAAATGAGGTTGAGAATTTCCGAACCATGCACCAACACCTTGAAAGTGAACTGGCAACTACACAAGGAAAGGTTAAGGAACTGGAGATTGCAAATGAGTCTTTAAAGAAAGAAAACAAAGCTTTTAAGGGGAGAGCAAATGAAACGCTTCGGAGGAAAGATGGCCCTAGAAAGACAGCCAGTGTAGAAAACAAATTGAAGTCGAAGACAAAACACGAGCAAAGTGTGCCAAAGGAAAGTAAAGACGTTTCTTCAGCAGAGGGTGAAGGGGCTGAGACAGACTTGCGACAGAAAGTTGAACAGCTTGAAGACGAAAAGGTTCAACTGGAAAATGAACTTAATAATCTAAGGAAAGACGTCAATAATGATAGCGTTGCTACTTCCCAGGGCGTGTCGATTGCAACACAAACGCTCGACGACCCTCCACAAGAAAACAAAGAAATCAGCGAGATAAGTGGCACTAGACTGACTACCAACCGCGACCAAGGAACAAACACTGAGTCCGAAAGTGGAAAAGAAAGCGCTCCCTTGACAGAGGACGTTAAAACAGGTTTTTCCGTTATGGCAAAAGAGAACCTATTACTGGAGAAGAAGGCGTCATACTTCGCCAGAGCACAAATGCAGCTGGAGCAGTCTCTTTCCAAAGCACTAGGAGAAAATTCGACTTTAAAGACTAAAGTAAGCGAAGCAGAAAACGCCCTTGGAATTCTTCGCGAGAGGGTGCATGAACTGGAAAACAAGACGTCAACTTCTTTTCAGGTCGTAGACTTGAAGAAAAGTGTCATGATATCAAGTGACAGCGAGAGCGATTCTGATGAAAGGGAACTAACGAGCAAAGATCACAGGAAAGAAAGCCAAAGTGAAGATAACACGAATCAGAGTACAGGTTATCAACCAGATGCAAAGGATGTGCAGGAAAGTGAGAGCTGTTCGTTGAACCCAGCCCAATCTGATGTCGATCACTTGCGAAGCGAAGTGGAGCGACTAACAAAAGAATTGGAAGGTCTGAAATGCCAAAAGGAAGCCATCGAGAGTGATTTGAAGCAGAAAAAAGACGATTTTGAAGCCAATACTGATATTGAGGAAAATGTCAACAGACAAGAACAAGAAAATGCACTCCTGAAACAGGAAAGAAAGAGTTTGCTGGAAGAGTTGGAAGCGGTAACAAACCAACGAAACGTTATTGAAAGTGATCTGAGGCAAAATAAGGAGTCTTGCCTGAAACAAGAACAAGAGATGAAACATTTACTTTCATCGTACAGCCAAGAAAAGGAAAGTTTGCTAAAAGAACTTGAAAATACCAAGTCAGATTGCCGTAAAGCGCAAGAAAGACTTCGTGAATTACAACAGATCGACTCAGAATTTGAAGATATCCGAAGGAAGAGCGCAGAAGCAGAAAAGCTGATTACTGAACTCGAAAAAGATCTGTTTTGTCAAACAGAGATGAAAAATGAGTTAAGACGGGATCTTCAGAGCTATCAGAACAAGCTCGTAGAAATGGAGCAACTAGAACTAGAGTTACGCACTTGCCGAACGGAGAACGACGACTTGCAAGTTATAAACAACCAGCTGAAGGACGAGATGAAGAAATGGAAAGATGAGAATAACAATTTAACAGATGAACTAAAAAATGCCAAGCTTCAATTGAGATCAATGGAGAAGCAGCGGAAGCAATCCGTGATTCGGAATTCGAATATGAAAAGTCTCCAAGATCAAAGTGTCCAAACTGAATCAGCTATTGATCCCTCTATCCATGCCGATGGCACATGTGTAGAAGACAGCACAACACAAACAGATGCAAAGGATTCAGACGAAGCATATGTGTTTAAAGAAACCAGCAAACACGAAGAGGAAAAATGTTCTCTACTACCAGCCGAGGCAGGAAGTGGGCCTCATAGGCCAGATGAAGTTGCAAATGAAAAGCCTGTGGAAATAGAAGCTTCCAACAACTCTCAAATCCAAATCAACTATGAAGAGCTTGAAATAACTGAAAGAAACAGCTTTAGGGGAGTTCCTATTCCAATAATTGTAGTGAGTCATGTTGATGACCTTGACACAAGTAACCTCGACAGAACTGGAACATTAAATCTCTGCATAGCAGACTTCGAAAGAGACTCGCCGAACGATCAGAGCACTCCTGACGAGGAGAAAGAACAAATCAGATCTCCCATGGATAACGAAAAGACTAGAGGTACACGGGTTGAAGCCAACGAGCCACCATTGCAAGAGCACCAAACGTCTTTGGTATTATCCATTGGTCAAGAAAACTACATCAGGGAAAGAGAACACAGCGGATCCCAAGAGGAATCAGAAACCATGGCTGACCAACAATCGGCACCAAACAACCAGTTAAATGTTAAAAACCTCGATGAAAAACAATTAGATAATGAGCCTGGAGAAGAATTGGAGATACGTAGAAGTCAGAGAGAGGTTCTCTCCGATAGCACACAGGGTGCTCCCACCACAAGACATGAGTTAGAGTGGACGATCTCCAGTTTAAAGTCTGAGTTGCAACAAAGTGCTGAGGAAAACGAGAAAAGCCAACATGAAATTAGCTTGCTTGTGGAAAAACAGCTGTCCATGAAAAGGGAAATCAGCTCTTTGCTAAGTGAATGCGAGTCACTCAGAACAAAGGTGGCGATACTGCAAACTCAAAACGAAGCCGTTTTAAAGGAACAGATTCTTTATGACCAGGAAAACGAGGAACTCCAGCAAAACTTGCAAGATTTACTTGAAGAGAGGAATTCGATAGAGGAGGCCAAGAAAAAACTGGAAAGCGAAAAAGCAAGACTTGAAATCGAGTTGTCAGATGCAATTGAAACAAGAGAAGCGGTTGAGGGAGAAATGCTTCGCTTTAGATCTGAAAACGGAAATGTTTCACGACACAGAATGGAAGGACAGCTTCATGACATAAGCGAGAGATACGCCAAATTAGAAACGGTACTGTCGTGCGTTCTTGATGAGAATTCAAAGATGACTGCAGAACTTTCCGCTCTTCGAGCAGAAAACAGTATGCTGAAGAGTTTCAAGATTATGGAAATAACTGACAATTGCACTCAATTCTCGCCGAGAACAACTGAAGATGAAAGTGATGGGGAAGGACCACAATCTGCGAAGATAAGAAAATCTGGGATAATAACCAAGTTCCCTGCCACACAGTTTTTGCGTCTTGGCGAAGGTCCAACCAACCAATGTTTGACCAGTTCTACGACTTACGAAGAATCAAGCCGAGTTCAAGGAGACGAAAAAGGGGCAACAACAGATGAACCTCCGGATACTCCAACCCTTGGTGTTAATGCCAATAGTATACCATCGGCCGCTGATTCGCCTGGAAGCAGATCTGAAACAGACCAACGACGAGGGAAAAAAGAAGGATTTCCTCTTACTCCAACAAATGAAGATAGTACTGGAACTCTTTCGACGCCAACTGGCATTGACGGAAAAGACGCCGAAAACTCTACAAAGGACACTGCGTCCTTAGTTAAAGGATTGGGCAAAAAACAACAAAGGAAAGCGTTCAAAGAAAAGCCCAGTTCACACCAAAAATATGGCACGCCTGACGATACCGGAAAAGTGGAATCAGATGACAATGACTCCAGTATGGAGGTCCATACAAGCAGCTCCCTAGTTTCCGTCACAGATCTCGACATAAGCATCTCGTCCGATCAAATCTCTTCAGAGGATAGCTCTATAGTGGGTCCAGAAATTAGGGTACTACAAAGAATGCAAAAGGAACTCGCAGAGACAAAATGCAGCAACGTCCTTGTTAAAAATGAGTTGTCCATAATTAGGAAGCACAATGCTGATCTTCAGAACCAAGTACAGAAGTTACTCAGCAGGAACAATCACCTTAAGACGAAAATGTGCGACAGGTCATTGACCGTGAAAAGGATGGAAAAAGAAGTATCCAATATTAAAGACGAGAATAACAGATTACAAGAGCAGGCTGTTATCTTACAAGACGAAATGGCACGAGTCGAGAAGGAAAAGGCCAAATTTGAACGTAACATGTCTTCGACAAAATCAGAGAACAAAAGACTCAAATCTGATTTGTCAAACATCAAGGCAGAGAGTTACAGAACAATGAAAGAACTGGTGAACTTGCAGGGCGAGAACAGGAGACTGCAACTGGAAATTGAGAGGTTAAGGGAAGAATCGCACAGCCTAAAAGGTCATTACAGTGACCAATCTGTCTCACAGGAGTTGTCGCTATGGGGAGCAATGTCCCATGGGGATAGGAGCACGTCGCGTAGGAGTTTACAAGAAAGAGCTGCTAAACCAGAGCCAGCCTACCTACAACAGAGAGCAGCGAGCGATCTTTCATTCGCCCAGCGCCGAAAGCCAGCTGAAGATGCCCTTACTCCGGTAAGTGAAAATACCTTTCGCGCTTGTGAAAGCCATCCCACTCTGATAAAATAGCAATAGAAATAAAAATTAGGAGTAAAAACGCATCATTTGGGGTATGGCTAAAAGATACAAAGTTCCATGATTTACAAGTTTGATTTTCCTACCGAGTCTCTGAAGTCTCGAAATTTATTTTTGTAGGAGCTATCACCTCTTAATCTCTCCGAAGAACTTCAAAAACAAGCCGATGGGGATGAATGTGGCAAAAGATTGATTGGATCTGGTAAGTTACCTTTTTTCACTGAGTCGGAGATGTTCAGTCCCCACACAGAATGATTACCAACTAGTTTCATGGCGCAAATGGTTATCGTTATGTTCAAAGTTTTACTTGTTGGTACATCACCACACTGTAAACTGTTCTTCACCAGCAGCGCGCAGACAGTTCTTTATTCGGAGGTGTTAGAATTCGCCACTTCAGAAAAGAGAAAACTGGGCCGAGTCTCATCTCGCTCTTTCTTGTGGGACCGCTACTGGGGACAATATAACGGTCTCGCAGGAACCTAAAAGATGACACTCGTCCAAGATTACTTCTCGTTGTGACGAATGACTCTTTTGATTAGTTCGTTTGTGACGGCTCTATATGGAAAGGTAATCGAACACTCTTCGGTAAATCTTTGGATCGAGATTGGTTCAAACTAGCACTTGTCCCTACGAGATATAAAACGAAGTGATTACAAGTGTTTATTTCTCAAAACAGCGGACTCGGTCAGTAGCGACGATAGATCAAGATTAGCAGAGCCCGTGTCGAGACGAGGAAGTCAGCTGTCGTTCGCGAGTGAAGCAAGCCATCCAGAGGAAGCCAAAGATCGAGATGAAAACGGACGCACTAGCGAAAACGCTGAAGATGAACACGACGACGATGAACAAGGTGGAAAAGGAAAGAGCAAGAAAAAGATCAAAACGATTTTAAGGAAATTACAGCACAGCAAAAAGAGTAAATCATCAAAATAGATTGCTGTACCTCCCAACTGAAATACGTTCTCCGATTGGAGGAGAACGTGACGTGTCACGGGTCAAAACTTACTAACTCACTAGGGAAACAACAACTTGAGCTTGAGCCACACCGCGGCAAATTCGTGTGCCAGCCGGCGTCAAGCAAATAATATTTTCAGTTTTCTTCTATTTTTGAGTTAGGAAGCATAACAAAACACTTAATGGCTGGCCTCGCCTCACCTCGGGGAACATTGAGGATCTCGAGCAAACAAAATTCACTATTTCCCTTGGGGCCAGTCATTAAGTGTTGCATGTTGACTGATCATTCAGTTTTTCCAAATTAAAGCATGTTTTTACGATAAAGTTCGTTCTTGTAAATAGCGAAAATAATTCAATTGTAGCGCAATATTTCTAATTAAGTAAAATTTATTAATCAAGTGAGAACAAAACTTGTACTCAGAGTCAAATAAGCAAATAATCAATACTCATGCACAGAACGAACAAGAAACCTGAAACATGATCTCCATCATGTAACCAAACAAATCTATTTAAATTAATTTTTGCTTAAAGTATATAGCGTAGTCGTGAATGTACCGTGGACGTTGAAACTGTTACTTCAGAAGTGACGATTATTTTACCAAGATGCCTCAATGATACAAATATTGTGCGATAGTTGTGTTACGCTCCTACCAAGAAGCCTCTGTATTTTTGTTGTATTTTTTGTATTTTTCAAAATTAGCCCACGATAGTCCTCAAGTAAACTGCGTAAATAAACTAAGGTGCCCCGCTTTACACGAAATAAAGCAGTGTCAGCAGTAAATTCTGACAACACTTAAATGTTATTAGATTAATTGATTGCAGAAGGCATAGAAAACAAAACGTGCTAACGGTATTATTGTCAATAATGATAAAAACGTAGCTAATTAGTTATACCCCTTTTTGGTTAACAAGATAATGCTCTGCTTTAACGCATTATATTTTAATGAAACGTTCTTGAAACGTATTTAAACACACTCAGCGAGTAAATAAAACAAGTATCACCTGAAAGGTCTAAAACTAAACAAGTTTGTTCTTTGAGTTGTTTAAGTGAAGAATTCTTCGTAGGACATCTAACTAAGATTTGACCTGATAAATTCCATACTGATGACAACATGTACAACAGGTACAAGCTGTTGACAAAATGTCTAATGAGCCTTCAAATATCCAGCAACTGGCTTCATTTCTAACCCCATGGTTGCCACAGGCATCGTTCCCTGACTCTTCCTTGATAAAAATAAGTTTTCCGTGACGAATTAAATACAAAACATCAGATCTAGTAGTGGCTTCTGGTCTGAACTTACAGCCGTCCTTTCTGACGTCACCCTACAGAGATCCGTGTAGCGTCTCTAATTGGCTGTTACTCGGATTTGAATCTACGCGCACAATTAACAACCAATCAGAGATGCGGATCTCTGTAGAGTTAAATTGGGCTGAATCTTAGACGTTTATTGAGCGCCGGAAACCTGTACTATAAGATGTTACATTTTGTGCAACAAGCTGTTGACAAAATGACTAATGAACCTTGAAATATCCAGCAACTGGATCCATTTCTGACCCCATGGTTGCCACAGGCATCATTCCCTGACTTTTGCCTGATAAAAATAAGTTTTCCCTGACCAAATAAATACAAAACGTCAGATCTAGTCGCGGCTTCTGGTCTGAACTTTCTACTCGCTCATTGAGACTAGTACGCTTTTAACAAATTTTCCTTCTTCATTAAGGAAAAATATCGTTGAGACCACAGTGACCCCAAATGTTTGTTCCAGCCTTCAGCGGTATTAAATCAGCCGTATTGAATTATTTCAATTTTCCCTGACTAAAAATAACATTTCCGTGACTTCTCTCTGACCTTGAGGAGTTTGTTTCCCTGACCATGGCAACCCTGGACCCGTCATACCTGTCGGCACTTCATGGATACTTTTCCCCCTGTTTTTTTTCTTTTTTTTTTCCTTTTCTTTAACTTCATGGGATACTTAATGGCACACATGTAACTACAGCTGTCAAATGAATATTGTAAATCAAAAAAGTACTTACAAACTCAAACGAAAAAATGCTGTACATCCGGACCACAATCGCACTTCCGAGGAAGATGAAAATTAAATCCCGAAGAGGAGTGCTTTGTAAGAATTTCTGTTTTACAAGTCAATGTGCACCAGTTACGTATTTACACTCTCAAGAAGAAGTCTCGTTTGGAACTTAAAAGTTTAAACCCAACATTTAAACTTAAAAAACTGCTGCAAATCTGGGTCGTCTACACTTTTACCATGGACGCCAGCATAAACTTGCATAAGCAGTTTGCTGTATTTGAATGTCTTATCAAGTGTGTCAACGTACTTCTCTAGCACAGTTAGTCCCATCACCTTCCCTAGAGAAATCATACTGGCACCCAATCTGGGGTCGTCATACTTTTCATTCTTCATCAGCAAACGAACCATCTCCCCGTGGATGTATGCGTCATCAAATGTCAACGGCTCCTGGAAAGGGTACTTGCTGTACGTGTCCACGGCTTTCATTGGGTCTGACTTGATCAGCGAGTCAGCCAATTCGATGTAAGCATCGTGAACAGATGGCGCCATTGAGATAACTTCTTCGTACAGCTTGTGAGCTTCGTTGACGTCATCACCGCCTTTACGCATCAATACACGAGCTAAACCCAGACGAGAATGGTAAGTAGGTTTGTTGGGCGGTCCACTCGGCTTCTGATCAGTTGAAGGACTGGGCTCTACAGGTTTGACTGGAGTGAGAGCTGCTGCTGGAGATTTCGTGCCACTTTTCGCTTGTGTCGATGGTTTAGTGGAAGTTGGCTGCTTTGTAGGAGAACATGATCCTGATTTGTGAGCTGACGGCTTTGACGATGATACTGTGACAAGAGAACAACAAAACACAAGTAAACATTTTGATGTCGTCCTGTTGCACACCTACATAACAAGGCAACATGCTAAATACTGGCAAAGATTGCTGCACATCACTACCGTCTACCTAAAATACCTGGTGTTCTGTTTGCTGTTGCAATACTTCCTCCTCTTGACGCTCCCCTCCCTGCTGTCCCAGCAGGCTTTGTTGGGGAAGTCTTGCCCCGAGTCCCACCAGTTGGTGCCGGCTTTGCTGCAATCGTGGCCCCGCCTCGGATGGGAGCAGCGCTGCCTCTACCTCTCATCGCTGCTCCACCTCGCGCTGGAAATTAATATGCATACTTCTGTTTACTCATATCAACCTTTTAATCCGTATAAGTATTTGTAAAATGTCATTTCTCTTAATTGTATCAACGCATAAATAAAGGATAATTTAATTTGACCTTGATCACAGGTTGCAGTTAAATTGCACATGCATGCACATGCATCATTAAAATATAATAAGGCTAACTCGTTGCAATGTACATCTACAGGTGACGTTAAATAAATTCAAATCAAACTGAATTTCTGACTCTAATATTCGATGCAAATAGATACCTTATATAATTACATCATTCTCAGTACGTTCCTGCTCAAAACATCTATTGTAACCTAAAAACAATGCACTGTTTTTCTCTCTGTAACTGATTACTATGTATCACTACATGCAAGTTAGTAATGTCAACACAAGGGAGCAGTGTTCCCACTCTGCAGGCATGTTGTGTTCATACCCATATTTTCCCTCAGTAGTCATATACATGTATTGAGCAAGATATGTATCTGTAAGCTGACTCACCTGTAGTGGATGAGCCCCTTCCTGCTTGGGTCCCACCATGTCCAGCTGGGGAGGCAGCTGCCTTACCAGCTGGTGAGGCAACTGTCTTACCAGCTGGTGCGGCAGCAATCTTTTGAGTGGTTCCTCCTGTAACAGCTTTCTTTTCAGCTTCTTTCTTTACTGCCTGCTCTTTAAACCACTGTTGTTCCTTGACCTTTGTCGGGGCCTCCCCACCTACTGACGGACAACCTTCTTGCTCAATGCTCACTCGATAACTCAGTTCAGCCTCTTGAAGAATCCTTTTGGCATTAGGTGCAGAAGGGTCGTCATTGTCATGGCAACTTAGTTGGGCATCACCCAGCCGATAGAGAGCACGACTGTTACACGGCTGAAGTAGGACAGCCTGTTGACAGGTCTGTGAATACAGACAAGAAACATTAACTACATTACCTACAATATTACAGTAGGAGGAGCAAGTGGTTCTTGGCAGTACATAGCTTATGACTAAACATAGTTCCTTCTTGCTAAATAATTCTCTTGTGAGAGAAATGCACAAGATTCCAGCTAAAATATTCCATGCTGATTATGTGGCTCACATGAGAAAAGAAATTTAAAACCAAACCTCTTGCCAGTTTTTTAGGTGGTGACAATCGATTTCAATAATTTTCCAGGGTTTTGTTAAAGGCCAGGCACCAGGCAAACTGACCAGTTGTGAGGACAATTTTGCCCAGCAGTGGTTTGACCATCTAGAGGAAAGTTTTCCTTGTATTAGAAGTTCAGTTCAAATAGTTTTGCCCTCCTGCGTTGACAGTACTTAAATGTAGTGGTACATTCTTACCTTTTCTTGGAGGTCAAGAATTTGCTTTCCAGGTGGAATGTTTGAACAGTTGAGCAAACCAGACAAATTTTCACAGAAGCAAGAAATCTCAACATTTTTGCCATCTCCTTTGTCCTTTGTCTCTTCCAGCATCATTTGAAGGAGTGTGAAATGGGTCTCAAACGAAACCCACTCAACTTGGTGGTATGTATCACCTCTAGCAACAAGATGTGACAAGACATGAGAGGACAACATGGCACTCAGATGCAATGCATTATCTGCAGACATTACTCCTGGTGGTGTTGTTGGCATTTTTTTACACAAGCTACCAAGAAGAGTACATCCTTGCAACCACTGCACATTGTCGCATCTTAACAAGTTGTTGGAAGATAGAGATGTCTGCTGTGGCCATTTTTCAGGATCCTTCGTTGGTTCATTTGGCTCAGTACTCATTTGGTTCAACAGATGTTCTATTCCTTCAGACAAGTATTTCACAGCTTCTTGTGTTCTTTTTCCAGGTCCACTTTTTTGTTGGCAAAGAGCCAACCCAAGGTAAAACCTACCAAGGCCAAAAAGAAAAAGGCACTGCATCAAATAATCCTAAACCATGACACACATTGTACACCAGTGAACCCTGATAAACTAAGGTTGGGTTTCCGCTAGGGAAATGGTTATCATTATGGTTTGCAAAATGTTGATCTGAGTTCCAAGGAATTTGGACATAAGACATCACATAATGCAAGTTCCATCAATGACCATAATCCTCCCTCTCTAAGAAATCACTCACATAACACACCCTCTGGCAATAAATGGCAATGGGTTTATAATCATAACTACTTTAGAAGAAACATCTGGAATGCATTTGACTACTACATTCTGTCAGGTTGCCCCAAAATATTTGCTGGTAACCATTAATTTATATTCATTGGTGCAGAGAGGCACTGTGAGAGTGTCTTGCCCAAGAACACCAAACAATGACAGGTTCAAGCCATGACCGCTCGATCCAGAGGCCACTGCACTATCCACTATGCAGTACCAGAAAATATCCATACTCCCCCCACAAGAAGGGATTAGAATTTCCTGGGGAGGTGGGGGGTTCTCTAAGACCAAAAAATTTAAAGAAATGTATCGAGTTTAAATGGAATTTCCAGAGGGGTGGGGGGAGGTCTTGGAAAAAATACCTTCCGTGGGGGAGGTATGGATATTTTCTGGAACAACAGATTAGGCCCAATGTCCTTCCCACCATAGATCTAGAGCTTACAGCTACATTATAGATACCTAAAGTACTGACCTTGCATCAATGTTAGTAGGCTTTAATCCCACTGCAACTTGAAGATGCCTCACAGCTTCTTCTGGTTTGCTTTGCAGGAGAAGCATTCTACCAACATGCAAATTGTACATATGGTTGTCATTGCCATTAGCCAGGGCATCTAAGTATTTGAGATATGCTTTTCCAAGAGGCTCCTCTTCATTAGTTGCTAGCTGGGCTGTTTTGCTCTGTAGATAAGGCATTCACAGTAAAGAATTTATAACTTTGTCTCCCAGTTTATAACTTTGAACTTAGTTCTTCAACTTCTCAAACCTTACTGTCAGTAATTGGTAACATGTGTCAGTGTGTGCAACTGAATTGGCTTACATATTGACCTAAGTAAATTTTATATAAGACAAACAAAATATTAATATTGTTCACAAAAAGTCATGAAGTTGAAATGAAGCCTAGTAGTACATTACCTGTGTAGCTTGTTTTGATTTCCATGCATACAACTTTTGAACATAGTCAGCCTTGTCAGACTGTCCCTGGTCCAAAAGATAATGATATTCTTCATCAATAGCCTTCAGCTGCAAGGCTAATGGGGCATTCCGTCCGGCACCACGCAGCTCACAGATGGCCTGAATGTCATCTTCTTTGGAACTTTCCTTGGATTTCATATTAAAATCCATATCATCATCATCAGAGGATTTCTGAAGTCTCCCTGATTGCAGGCTGTTTCATTTAGGGCCGGGCACTGGGCAAATTGACTGGCCACGAGGATGATTTTTCCTGCCTGGCTTGACCATCTAGGAGAAAGTTTCACTAACAACGAAGTTCAGTTCAAAACATTTTGCTCGGTCAAAACCAGTTACCCCCCGCGTAAAACATTAATGAAGCTCTTGTGATTATCTAATTATTTTTTGGCAAAATGATATCAAATGCAGGCTAAAACAAGCCAACTTACTGGAGGTTTGATCCCATAGAGATCCTCCACATAGTGTTGTTCCTCCAACATCTGCCCTAGCTTAAAATGAAGATCAGCCCTTTTGGGCGACAACTTGATCGCTGTGGCAAACCACTCAGCAGCCATCTCCAAGTATCTCAGTGGTGAAACCTCGCCATCAAAATGGCCTGCATTACCTGAAAAATTAAAGTTTGTAGAAATTACCCTCAGTTTTTACTATACTCAGATACATGTTAAAATGTTTGTCTTCTGGAGGCCAAGGTATACAAGTTAATCAAGATTTTCCTCCTTCCCTTTGTTTGCTGCCCAGACACTCCCTTGTGTCCTATGATAGGGGTAAGAAAAAGGTTAAGTCTGCATATGGGCCAGATCTGGAGCTTATCCCAGTTTCTGTAGCATGAAGCAACTAAGAGTATTTCTACTCCCCCCTGGATGGGATGCTGGTCCATTGCAGGGCTACCCCCAGCATTAAGTTTGCCGGTACCCATTTATACACCTGGGTGGATTTTTTGCTCTCTGGGTCATACATTGTACCTTTTCGAAACAAAACATTGTCTCCAGTGTACTCACAGAAAGCTAAATGTAGTTCAATGGCACTGAACTCTGCTTACAGAAATCATCCTGTAGGGGGACACCTCTCGTATGCCAACACTTAATAATGGTCCCACCACATTATGATACAAACACTGCATTTTTAACCACCTCTCTTAAGGGGACACATTTTCTTGCCCTGAGGGGGTCTTCTTACTAGAGGTTAGACTGGCAAAAAGGAAATGAAATTTAAACTGGTAACAGTAAATTAACTGCAATTATCATAAATTAAGTTGTTTACTGGTGAAGACGTGCATGAATTCTTCTAACTTTAGATACTTTCAATGTGGTTTTTATTTTTAAAAAAATCATGACTCTTACCAGGGAGCCCAAGAACTTACCATGCTGTGGCAACACCTTGAAGCATTCTTGAATTTGCTCCTCAGCTGTCTTTACCAACTTGTCAGCAGATTTTTCATTTGTTTCTTGCTGAAGTTTCTTCTCCCAAACTCTGATTTCAGACTTGTGCTTTGTACCTGGATTGGCATGCTTACTTGTACACATATAAGTCTTGTGTTCTTCAAGCTCAGAGGTTCTGACTGGCCGATTACAATCTGGGCATCCTTTACAAGCCTCCTTTTAGTATAACACACACAGTGAAATGTTAATAAGCCGTTACATTTCTGACAGTGCTAGCTAGCTGACTGGCAACAACTAGTCTCTAGTAACCTCAATATAAGATCTATAGACAGTACCCAATTAATTTAAACATGAAATTCTCAAATTTCCAGCATTTGGTAGGTTATTTCTGATTGCAGGTCAGAAACAGAACTGTGGAGGCATCACTGCCTAATGGTTAGCGCCATGGACCCTAGCACCAGCATTTCTGGGTTACAGGACAGGGTCATTGTGGGTTTGTGGCCAGGGTCATTGTGTAGTGTTCCTGGGCAATTTTTTGCTCTCACAGTGCCTCTCTCCACCCAGATGTATGAATGTGAACTGGTGAATTTAATGCTGTAAGGTGCAATGGACCAGCATCCCATTTAGGGAGGAGTACAAATACTCCTAATCGCTTTGATTGCTTCGTGCTGGATTGGTGCATTTGTGCATGGGGGAAGGGGATAGAGGAAGGGGATTGTTTTTTAAGTGGGTAAATGATACTGACATTCACACTTAACAACTCTGCTCCCATGCAATAACAGCAGCTGTGAAAAGAGACATTGACAAATGTCTCGTTTTCGCAATGTCTCCCTCTCTGTTTCACCTCACCTTCGATTTTTCTTCTAGATCCTTGGCTGGGACAATTTCCTCAGACTTCTCCACTACAACAGGCCTAAATTCACACTGCCTCATATGAGGACCAAGGTCACAGAGCTTCAATTCCTCCCCACATCCCCAGTGCTTGTAAACGCAGAACACCACCTGGGAAGATAATTCCTTGTCCAAGTCATATTCATCTACACGCCACACATCTGGTAGCGGGGAACGGTCCAAAGGATCCTGTTTTGAGGTCCGGGTCAGCTCATCGATGCACCCCTTGCAGAACACATGTTTCGGCTGACTGTTCTTGATCGATTTTGGTCGATACAGAACTCCCAGACACACGGGACATTCAAATTTCGATTGTTCTTTTTCACCTGAAAACTTTATCGGTCTTAAGAGCTTCAATCTAGAGATTATTAACACGTAAGTTCGTTTGCTGCTTGAGTCTGGAGAAGTTACCTCCACCTCGACAACTGTTTCGCCATAGTTCAAAGGTATGGGATCTTTCGATCCACCACCATTAACTTTTACTGCAGTTTTTTTATCAGCCACGCTAGGCGTTACCTCAACGGAAGAGCTACTAAATGGAACGACGGCAGAGTAACTGGTGATATTTGAAGCGAAATCTGGAGAGAGGCTGCCAAGGACAGAAAGTTTGAGATCTGTGAGAGAAGCATCGCTTGCAGACAACCTCGTAACTTGAATGAAATAATTCTTGATTGTGCTTCCATCTTCTGCCGTTACTTCGATTTTTACTGGTGTAACTTCTCCCTCTTTCAGAGCAACTGTTTTTCCACCTCCACTACCCTGTATAAACAAAAAATAAAGAGCTAAATGTCTGTAGATCAAAGCTGAGAACAAATTTGGCGCGAATTTTTACAGTAATACGAAACGAGTCTACTTACCGAAATGGAGTAAGAAGCTCCTGAATCACTTGTAAGCGGATCGATTTTTATCTGTTTGACATCACTTCCGAGAGTTACTGAGTATTCGGTAGTATTCGGATGGAATTTGGGTGTTAGCTTTCCAGGTGAAATGGAGAGCTTTTCCAAGTCAGCGTTGTCCATAGTTGCCAAGCCACGGAAGACGCCACAAATGCGTGAGGAGGAACTCATCAAGGGGTCTGGGTAAACAGGTCACGCAGCAGGTGTTGCGTGATGAATACAGTGCAACCCCGGTCACAAACTAACCTGCGAAAGCAGACGTATTTCCGGCTGTCACTTGGTTCCGCCGAAAAATAACGTCTGCGAACCCTAGCCAGAAAACGATTTCTGTGACGTAGGAATTCTAAGTCAATCACAGTCTAGCTCAAATAACCCCAGAACTACTGCGCGAGGTATTCGCTGTGAG